AAACTGAGCTCCTGGCTGAGCGATCCGCTCTACGCCAGGCTGGCGAAGTCCTGACGCTCGGTGGCGCAGGGCGGCGCGGCGTGGAACCACTCTGATAACCTAGAGGAGCGGCGATCCGCAGCGTGACGTTCTGCCGACGATCCACGCCATTACCGCTCTGAATGGAATCCTGCTCTCTTTTCTCTTATTTTACTTTATTGCTTGTTTTCAAAGTCTTAACCAGGTTTCTTTGCATCGTTGTTTTACTTTTTAAAGGCCTAAGCTGCGTTTTCTCTCTCACTAACATGAGGATTGATAATGGCTTATTTTATAGATAATTAATACTGTTTAATATTTATTGGCTTAATCAAAGCTGTTCATCCAACATTTCCAATTATTAATCTTTGCATATTTAGGTTAAAACAGATGCTAGGAAATAAATAAGAATAAATAAATAAGAATCTAACCGCTCCAGAAACAGCTTAACTGAAATTATTTCTTAAAATCTTTATTGCTCAGAAGCAACATTAGAGACAGCAGGATGTTTTCAACAGTAAATGAGATGCTAATAAACATTTAGCAAAGCCTGGAGGGTTTGTTTTTGAGGCCTGTAATACTCTGGTTAATGCAAAATCAGAAAAACCTGATATGAGAAGTTTTATGGAAAACAAGTAGAAGGTTAACTAGCATGAGGCGCTGCTTTCTATGCTGGAAACAGCATAGTACGTCTACGTACTGTCATACGTAGACGAGGCTCTAATTAACGGTACAAGCAGGGAGTAAACAGCCAGACCACCTGAAGCAATATTTTTTTTTTTGGTTCCTCTGATGTCAACAGATCAGAAATATCCATCGTCTCTGAATTGTCTTCCAGCACATTTAGCTAATTAGCTTTAGCTGATCAATGCTAAACAGCGTCTTTTATGTGGGTTCCTTCAAACAGCTTTTAATGGCTATTTCAGAATAATGACATTAAACTGTTATTGGTTAGAAACTCTAAGATAAAGCAGGTTGTATCGATAACCGGGTGTTTGTGGGAATAAGCTCACAAATATGAAAATAAGAACGTCTGTGTGGAGGAAATTTATCTACCTAAATGGTTCCCATATTTAAGTGATTATTACTGTCCTTCCTTCTCTACAGAGATGAATGTAAGGCAGTCTTTGCTCAAAGCAAAGAGCGTTTAAATCCCCCCATATGGTGCCGGTTTGTTAGATCTGTATTTGTCTGTAGTATTTTTTAAATGTTTTTATTTTTATTTTTTCTGACACTGTTTTTATGCTTTTGTACGGTGACCTTGAGTGTCCAGAAAGGCGCCTTTTTAAATAAAATGTATTATTATTATTATTATCTGCAGCTTCCAGATCTTCTCTTCCTTCATCAGTGGAACAATAATAATAATACTCCTTAACATTCAAACGACTATGGAGCAAATTTTGTTCAATTATTGTTTCAAGCAATAAAGAAAAAATAAAGAAAAAAAATGCAATCATGAATTGAAATTAGAAAAAAACTTTTTAAAGACATATTTTGAAAGCAACATTTCAGATTTTTTTTTAGATTTTATTTACTTAAAATCTTATTTTTTTAGAACAAAAATATAGATATAGCTTTCTTTTTTAATTTCTCAAATTTTATTTTCTTTTAAATAAATTTTTATTCAGATTGAGTTTTACAAATTAAATTCTTTCGAGATTTGGGGCGGGATTTGCTCTGGAGCGATGGTCCGAAATTGGTCCGAAAAAGAGAAATTTGAAAAAAAATCAAATTAAGAAATATGAAAAAACTGAAAAGTTACTCTCAAAATTTGTTTTCTAAAGCATTTATCTTTTATTTATTTGTTCCTGTGCTTCTTTTTTAATTTCCATTTACAAAACAAATCTGTTGCTTATAACAATAATGACTTTACCATCACTATTGATGTGTTGAACTTGTTTTATCCAGTCGTTTGGTTTGTCTTTTTTTCATGCAGAAGTTCTAGAAGCAGCTGTAATAAACGCCCTTTAACCAAACTATTGTGGGTTTAAACATAATTTCTAGATCAGATAATAAATTTGAATGACGGATGAATACACAATAGCTATATTGTGTTTGCAAATCTGACCTTAAGAACAGCCTTTTCCTGGAATACTTGAATGAAGGGAGTGACATAAACAGACTTTTTCCATCAGTTCCACTTCCAGGAACCCTTTAAGTCATAAATAAATCATAAGCCTTTAGAAAATGTTACGTTTGCCTCAATTTTAAGGTTTAAGCTCATATAGGGCATTGGATTCCACAACAAGATCAAACCTGGAGGCAGGAAAACAAAAGCTCTGCGGACAATATGTGCAGAGAGAAAGGAGAAGAAGGAAAACAGTTAAATACAAAACACTTAGTTGAACTTTTTAGGTAAATATTTAACTCCAACACATCAAATGTTTAAAGGAGAAAAGAGCTGTGATGGAAGACGGCGGCTAATAGCCAGTACAGCGTTTCCCCCAGGTAAAAACTAGGATGTTTTCCTCACCGGTTTGTTTAAATCTGCCATTAAAAAGCACTTTGGTAAAATCAGGAGGAGTCGATGCATCACTAACCTGTCCGTCTGAGAAGCTGCTGGCTTAAATGCTTTAGAGCTGGCTGGTGAACTGAGACCGCTCGGGTCGTTTTAAAGTGGAGACTATTGCCTTTTGCAAATCATTGGGAAGCAGGGTGTCATTTTAAAACAGGAAACAAACAGGGTTATGGTTTCACCAGTTGCACAAGGAGAACGGGGGACGAAAATACAGCAAGTAGCAGAACTAGAAAAGGAGACATTTCTGTGATTATCACTAGGAAGGCCAAACGGAAATTAAATCTGAATGTAAACAGCTGAAATCGTGGCACCTATGAAAAATTTTTTTTTCTTTTACTAAATTGGATCCTGTGTTAAAATACAACCAAAAACTTGAATGCAATTTAAGAGACAGATCAACCAAAAGCATCGATCTTCATTTCATCGCAGCTTCAAATGGGTTTTATTAAGATATTTCCCGTATTTATCATATTTCCATCAACTTTCCCTGCTGCACCACAGCATGATACCGCCACCACCGTATATAACAATAAGGAAGCTGTATTTCTCAAGGTTGGATTTTACAGCAGGATTTTCAAATTATCGGATCGATAAACGAATCAGAGATAAAACTAATTTGGTTGTTCTCTCCGGCCACAAAACAATCATGACACATTACGCACGATTATGATGCTCTAGATGTGCAGCGACCAAAGAGTCACAGACAGTCTCTATGTTCAGTAGGTCTGTGCTGAATGAGTGAGGAGAAACACAAAGTTTTAAGATTATTTTGAGGTGAAAACGTCGTCCACTCAGTCGGTTTGTCTGGATTATAATCCCACCTTCAAATATTCTGTAGGTGTTTAGAGCAGCAGATTATAGTTGTGGGCAAATAAGAGGTTTTGTAAATTGAAATTTGAAAAAAAAGCTGTTTTATGAAACAGATTTTAAACTTTTTTATAAATTTCTCTTTTTCAGGTGGAGTTTTTCAAATTGGATTTACAGAGTTTTTAAGCCCAGAACAAACGTCGCTCTGGACCAATGGAGACATTGCTAACATCCAATGAAGATGCATTTCTATTGGTCTGCTGGACGTTGGCAACATTCTTACTGGTCCGGAGCGTTTGTACTGGGATGGAAATGATGAGAATGAGAGCCGTCAAACGCATTTAAAAAACAAAAATTTGAAAAAGGAAAATTAATAAATATGAAATCTTTAAAATAAAACTTTTTCGAAATCAAATGAAATAAAAGGATGAAAATAAATAAAGATAATAATTTAAAGTAACGATATCTTTAAAAACTTGTTTTTAAAGAAGTTTTATTTCTGGATTGCTTTCTTTTTTTTTTTCCCCATTTACAAAACCTGTTTTTCGTTTTTCTTGCAACAATAATGGAACAGAGTTTACTCCATAGAACCCCACAAACCAGCAGGTTGGCGCTCTGGGAATCCCCCCACACCCACACCATCTCTCAGGGGATTTCCTGCCGCTGCTCTTAGCAAATAGAGGTGAATTTTTTTATTCTTTATTGTTTTAGGTTGTTAAACCTACCAGTGGCAGAAAATAAAACCAAATAGTTTTTCCAGGCAACTTTAGACATTTTAAGTTAATGAAGGTTTGAAATATAAACTGCTTTTTGCCAAAATTTGGTTACAAAATATTTTAGCTCACACTTTTCTTTGTATTTTAAAAAAGAAATCCACAAAAAAAAAAAAAAACTAAAACAAAAATCCTCCTGACTTTTCATGTAAACTAAATGGAGATGAACCCTTTATAAACATGAATGATAGTTTTTCCTGTTTTATAGAGGAGGAGATGATTGAGGGCGGCTCCTCACACCTTCGGCTTCATTCCTATTGGCTGTCCTTCAGCAGTGGTTAGCCGTTTGGCGATGTATCGGGATTTTCAGCTGCCTAATATAATATCGATCTTTCAATTCCTAATATCGATTTTAAAAAACAAAAATTTTAACCGGGAACAATGAGGGCAAATTAGCTACCTCTGCGCCACCACTCGATGGCGCCGTGGAGCCCGTTAGCTGTGCGGCGCAGCGCCGTATCTGTAGCTGAGGCGGTCAGAGTGGAAGGTGGTGACTGACGCAGACCAGAACAACATGGAGACAAAAATAACGGATCAATAATTCCTGATGAAAGTTTAGAGCATTTACTTTTGACGGCTGGGAAAATATCGCAATATATTGCGATGTCGTGATAATATCGCATTGTGACCCAAGTATTGGGACTCGTATCGTATCGCAATAGGCATGTCAAACTCAGCCTTAGCAATGGTTAACTCTGCTTTTACCACTCAGGTCAATTTTGATTTAATTTGTTGCATTAGTTTTTTTTTAAGGTTATATTTTTTATTTTAATTTGATGTGAGTTGGTGTTGATCTGTCCCATAAAATACCCAGAAATATCTGGAAGTTTCTGCTTCTGAGGCCTTTCTAGTGATAAATCAGCTGATGATCTGAGAACAGTTGCACCAGATGATCAAAGCAAAGAAAAACCACAAAGCTTGGAAGAGAGAGGAGACGCTTTTACGGATGAAGATGTTTCTTTTTTTTTTTTTTTCTTTTTTATGTCTTTGATCTGACATCCAGCAGGGGGAGCTCTGCCTTAGAAAGGCTCTAATCAGAGAAGAGGCTTGCGAAGGACTGCCGGAGGCTACGGATGGTCTCGGCCTTGGCTTCGTCATCCGTCACGTTCCCCCGTAACGTCTCTGTGAATGTGTTGGTCAGTGACTGGGACTTGCTGCGCATCATAAAGAAAAACATTCAGAGAAGCCGATGACAGAAAATGATTCGTAAGGAGCCGGAAATGATCGGCAGTTTGGACTTACTTCAAATGAGGCAACTGTTTCTGAGCTCCAGGCCCGGAGGAGGCGGGGATGGGTCCGGGCTGGAAGGCCTGGCTGGGAGAGGTGGAGGCAGAGCGGGCTCTCTGAGGGGAGCCCTGGGCCGACTGGGACGGAGAGGCGGAAGCAGAGCGGTGTCCACCTGGAAACACAGGTTTCACTTTGCTTCATAGCGCCACCAACAGGTCAGCTTGGACATTGTAGATAACCTTACCTCGCCTGGGCTGGGAAGTCTGAAGGTTGAGAGAAAGAAGGGTTACATTGTTAATAAAGAGACAAACATGCATGAAAGCACTTCTGGAGCAGCGATGGAGCCATGAGGTGATCAATTAAAGGTCCACAGAGCTGGATAGAGGGACATCTAGTGTCCAACCTACGAACTGCAACAAGCTTCTGTCATAAAGCAGTTTATTGAAGCGCAGTAGACAAACTTTCAACCTAAAAAAGAAGAAGTTTACTTTACTTTTACTTTTTTCAAACTACATTTTACTTACTGAAGAATAGTGTACTAGTGAATACTAAGACTGGAAAATCTGGAAAAAAGATGTATTATTCAAAATGGCCTTTCCCAGTTAAACAGCAGCCAAATGGAAGCAAAGTCCCCTCAAACTTCCAGCCACTGCAGTCACCCTCACCTGCATAGTATTTTACTCTGACTCCACCATTTCACTGAATTACAGGGTCTGACCAGCAGATGGCGCTTCTCTTTAGATCTTAATGTCCACAAATCAAGACAGAAAGAATATTTTAGATGTTTAACAATGAATTGTAGGGGATCAGCCGAGGAAAGTGGGGAAAGTTAGAATGGCTACTACTGTAGCTGAAGCCTAAGTCTTATTTTAATTGGTGTACTTTTACTTATTATTGTCACAAATTACCAATACTTAAAATATCTGGTTTGAGCTATAAAAAAAAAGGTGATAAATTTCACATTATCTTAATAGAGAAAACACGTGAAGAAAAGCTGAACAGGCTGAGCTTTAAGAAGGAGTTTATTCTTCCCATAGTTCAGGGAGACAGAGAGTTTAGTGTCCAGAACCTTCAGTTATGAACAATCTCAGAATATAAGGGTAAATACTAACTCTCGGGGGGGGGGGGGGGGGGGGACTAGCACTTAATGCAATGATTTAATACAGGAAGAAAATAATGTTTATGTATGACTTGAGAATAAAAGCCGTATTCAGGATAATTCCTCAACTCCTGGTAAAGTCAAGTTAACTTAGAGAATCTGACGGAGCGTTTATTTATCCTTTAATAAGTCGCAGTGATGTCATCTCCTTCCAGTTTTCAGCTTACAGACGCCGGTATTCTCCATGGCCGCCAAAGACAAAGACAGGCGGTATTCAGCACATATACGGCGCTGAAATAATGTCCTGGAAAGACAGGAGGCCCCTTAACGCCAAAAACATCTTAAAGATCAACTACAAATCGCCAAATTTAAAAAGTTCGACCCTTGGTGTGACTAGAATCCATCTTGAATGTAAAAGTCGGGAACCGTTTTGTTCCACCGACTTAATGACTCTTTATTTTGACTTTTGAAGGCGTTTAATAAAAACTTGGATGTTAAAAACTTGGGATTGTGAAGATATATGGAACACATGGCGGACTCATTGAGACCTGGTTGTCAACAGCATGCTGGCGGCTGCATTGTGTTAGAATATTTACCTTAACTCGCCTGCAAAAAAGAATGAACTTCAGGCCTCAGGCGCATCAGTAAAAAGTCAAGTTTAAGAAAGAGAAACAACACGAAAGGATCTGCTTCTGTCTCCTTGAACCCCAGTGGGCCTCAGCAGATGGCCGCTCACACTGAGCCTGGTTCTGCTGGAGGTTTCTTCCCGTTAAAAGGGAGTTTTTCCTCTCCACTGTCGCTACAAGCATGCTAAGTGTGAGGGATTGCTGAAGAGTCAATGAGTCGATGCAATCAGCTGGTTTTCCTTAGATAGAAATCTGACTGGATGATCTGGTTGAATTATCTCTATAAATTGACCTGAGATGACATGATGTGAATTGGAGCTATAGAAATAAACTGAATAGAACTGAACTAGAGCTGCAACTAAGAGATGTATTTGCTAATCGATCATTTTAATAAACCAGGTTAAACTTCCACTTAAAGAGTTCTGGATTATATTGATGGACAAAAAAGAAAGATTTGCATCTTACAAGCAAAATGTTTGTTAGTTTTTTTACACTTCTGGTATAATTTCTGCTCTTATTCTGTCTCTATACTCCAGTTACTATTAACCCACTAATCAATTAGCGCACAAATACTTCAATAATCAATTAATCAAGATTAATTGTTTAGGAACATCCCAGTGTTTCCACAAAGACATCTTGATGATTGCAAAGACTTCTGAGGGTAAAATTGAACATTTGCATCCTGTCGCTGGACTTCAGAAGATATGAACAATCCAACAATGTGGCGGCTGTAGGACGGCTGGATCTGCTTTAGCGTTTCTAGGACCCGCTGATGGAGCAACACATTCTGCTCATCCAAAGCAACCCACTTAAATCCTCCTTTAATTGCATAAAAATTAAATCCAATTCAAGTTATACGTCAGGATCATAACAATAACATAAAATGAGGCTGAAATAAAACATTGTTTTTAAAGAGATGTTGGTCACAGTTTGTTGACCTGAAACCTGCCAGTTAAAACCAGCAACATTCTCCTAATATTTACATCTAACTGACTTCCAGTAGCATCTCATCCCTAAAGTTGCATTAGCAACCAATAGAACCGTAGTGGAAATATTTTAATTGGTATTAGTGATGTCATCTTCTACCTTGACAGCAGAGGTCTGAGACGTGACGACTCCCAGGAGCACCTTGGCCATCTTGTTCATCACCAGCTCTGTAATGAGCTGCTTGTCCTCCTCCACATGCTCCCCGATCAGAGGCATGGAGCTGTCCATCACCTGCAGGAACAGGATGAACAATCAACCTGAGATGATTAAACACAACCACTAGAGGGCTCTGTTGCATCATTTATTTATGGAAGTGACAGATTTCCATGACTCATTGAATAAAGGCCAAGATAAAGAGCAGCTTTTTCTGTTTCTCGGGTCACATGCAGCAATGTGCTGCTGAGGTCACAGGATAAAAGTTTTGCAACCCTCTGCAGGCCTGAAATCCAATTAGGAACCGGCTGGGAAACGCTCCTCTATGTTCCCATGCTGTGGTCACCAGAAAGCCCCTTAATGTGGATCGTCTCACTGACTCTGACAACCAGTGCAGATTACTACAGTAGATTTTATTTGGTATTTTCAAACATGGCCTCAGAATACCTCAAATGATTTTGATGAGTTGTTCTGATAATCTAGAATAAAACTTAAACTTATCCTGGAGGAACTAATCAAATTGGGGACTACGCTCACATCTTTTGGGACTTTCCAGTAAGGATTCCATTTTAGCATGAAATAAAAGAAGACTCGAGTTTATGCAGGGGCGGATTTAATAAAGGTGGGGCCCTAGGCAAAGATAGGATGGGGGCCCTCTGAATGGAGAAGCCAACACATAAAACAGACTCATGCTCCAGATAGAGAAATGTTAATAGAATAGACATCCATTATCTGTTCTAGGTTGTGTCCCTCTCTTCTTGTCCCTTTTCTTCTTGTTTTCCTCTCTATGTTTTGTACTCAGCTGACTTTTCATGCTGTCTCTAAAGGAATGAAAGATTTTTTCCAAGCACTAAGCTCACTTAGCTGATTGCTCCTTCCTGTGTTTCCAAAAAGGCCAAAGTAAATAACCCAGTCCTTCTTTTCACTGTAGACAAGTCATGATCTGCTTATCTGTTCTCCATTTTTCATTTGGATGAAATAATAGCTGCATGAATCATGACAGCAGACAAGATAGAGGAGAGCAGGAGGCGGGGTTACCAATCTACTCGCTCTGGAGAGCAGAGTTCGCTGCTTTTAGATGTTGTCTCCAAAGTCTCCAGTAGCAGAAAAAAGTCTCTAGATTTGGCGCAAGGAGCTTTTTGGAAATCAAAGTGCTAGAGGGGTCTGAAAAGTGGCTAAATATAGCGACTAAAGCGCTAAGTTGGCAACACTGCTCTTTGCATGGTTTGTTTTCAAATGGTTTGCTGCTGTCTGTTTGGACCTTTCTGAACATGTGCAGCAAATGGACTGATCCAATATGGTGGACACTGAAGGGGGGGGCTGAGACACACTTAATATTATCAGCGTTCTGATGGCATTTTAGCAAAAGGATTTTTATCAAAAACATCATTAATGTGCACAAATAAGGAATGGAAACAGAGTTTTATGGGGCCTCCAGGAACTTGGGGCCCTAGGCACCCTCCTAGTATTGCCTGATGGTAAATCCCCCCGAGGTTACCACTGAACCCACTGTACCATATATTAGGTTTGCATTGTTAACGCGTACGACCCATGTATGGAGGCTTTAGTTCTCGACGTGGGCGACCTGGGTTTGAATCCGGCCTGCGGTCCGTTGCCGTATGTCTCTCCCTCTGTCTCATCCCCCTTCCCCTGTCAGCCTGCTGTCAAAAAAATGAGCCACTAGTGCCGTAAAAAAAAAAAAAAAGTTTAAAATAAGATCTTAAAAACTGTTTCAATTCTCCACTACATAGTTTTTTTTTCAAAATCTTCCTCTTTGCTCAATAATGGAGTAAAATTCACTCCATAGTTTTGTTCCATTTTTGCCAAGCAAAGAGCATATTGTGTCATTAGAAATAAAAAAAAAAATATTCAGAAATTTTAGATTCATAATCCAAAAGAAAAAATAACAGTAACTTTTTCCTTTAAGATTTTTTATTCTTTTCTAGAATTGTGGTTTTTCACATTTTAGTTCTATTTTTTTTTTTTACTTTTTTTGTTGTAACTTTTTTAATATTTTAAATTTCTCTTTTTCAGATTGTTTCTCAAATTGCATTCTTTTAATTTGTGTTTTACGGATCACATTTTCAAAAAATGAATATCCAGAAGTAAAGAGAATGTGATTCGGAAAACACGAATTGCAAAGATTGATCTGAAAAAAAAGAATTTTGAAAAATAAATTATACAAATACACTATATTGCCAAAAGTATTTGCTCACCTGCCTTGACTCACATATGAGCTTAAGTGACATCCCGTTCCTAATCCATAGGGTTCAATATGACGTCGGTCCACCCTTTGCAGCTAGAACAGCTTCAACTCTTCTGGGAAGGCTGTCCACAAGGTTTAGGAGTGTGTTTATGGGAATTTTTGACCATTCTTCCAGAAGCGCATTTGTGAGGTCGCACACTGATGTTGGACGAGAAGGCCTGGCTCTCAGTCTCCGCTCTAATTCATCCCAAAGGTGTTCTATCGGGTTGAGGTCAGGACTCTGTGCAGGCCAGTCAAGTTCATCCACACCAGACTCTGTCATCCATGTCTTTATGGACCTTGCTTTGTGCACTGGTGCACAGTCATGTTGGAAGAGGAAGGGGCCAGCTCCAAACTGTTCCCACAAAGTTGGGAGCATGGAATTGTCCAAAATGTCTTGGTATGCTGAAGCATTCAGAGTTCCTTTCACTGGAACTAAGGGGCCAAGCCCAGCTCCTGAAAAACAACCCCACACCATAATCCCCCCTCCACCAAACTTTACACTTGGCACAATGCAGTCAGACAAGTACCGTTCTCCTGGCAACCGCCAAACCCAGACCCGTCCATCAGATTGCCAGATGGAGAAGCGCGATTCGTCACTCCAGAGAACGCGTCTCCACTGCTCTAGAGTCCAGTGGCGGCGTGCTTTACACCACCGCATCCGACGCTTTGCATTGCACTTGGTGATGTATGGCTTGGATGCAGCTGCTCGACCATGGAAACCCATTCCATGAAGCTCTCTGCGCACTGTTCTTGAGCTAATCTGAAGGCCACATGAAGTTTGGAGGTCTGTAGTGATTGACTCTGCAGAAAGTTGGCGACCTTTTCGCACTATGCGCGTCAGCATCCGCTGACCCCGCTCCGTCAGTTTACGTGGCCTACCACTTCGTGGCTGAGTTGCTGTCGTTCCCAAACACTTCCATTTTCTTATAATACAGCTGACAGTTGACTGTGGAATATTTAGGAGCGAGGAAATTTCACGACTGGATTTGTTGCACAGGTGGCATCCTATCACAGTTCCACGCTGGAATTCACTGAGCTCCTGAGAGCGACCCATTCTTTCACAAATGTTTGTAAAAACAGTCTGCATGCCTAGGTGCTTGAATTTATACACCTGTGGCCATGGAAGTGATTGGAACACCTGATTCCAATAATTTGGATGGGTGAGCAAATACTTTTGGCAATATAGTGTATCAAATCTAAAAAAACAAAATTAATGAAAAATTAAGTAAAATATAAAAAAAATGTTGGAAAAATAAAATTAGAGAATATAGTAAAGGGTTCTATTTCTATCTAGATTGCATTTTTTTTTATTGCAGTTTATAAATGGGGATCTTGGCCTGAAGGAATAATGGACCAAATTTAACTCCATATGTACTGCTGTCCATGAACCAGTGGACATATATATGTGAAAGCAGTGCAGCTGAACAAATGTATTTATTGTAATAAAGCTTAGAGTTCACAAACCAAAACAAATACAGTAACTTTAAAGAGTAAAGATGAATATAAATGGATTTCCGTCTCCTCCAGGCCGAGCCAGAGGTCATGTGAGGCCTCATCCCTACAGACCAAAACCAGAATCAGCAAAGAATTGCGGCCGCTGGTTCTGCTGGCACCGCGGCCGGCTGCCATGCAGATTCCCATGGAGGCGGATGAGGTGGCTGCACCGCGCCCCGGCCGCAGGCTGTAAACACAGCTCCGGGCACGGATGCATGCGCTGATCCTCTGTTGTTTACCAAGCGCAGGCCGGTCATGTGTTACAGCCTCGCTGGGCGACTTCTCACTGTGGTTTTTATTGCTGCTCTTAGAGAAATACTTTCTAAAGGAGACGGACCTTCTGTTCTCAGCATCCACAGGTTTGTTTTCTGTGTGGCTGCTGTCATGTGACGTTTAATGGCCCAAATGGAAACAGAAAACATGAAACTCTGGATGAATTACTCCTAAAGTAAAGCGCTCTGTCTAACAAACCGCTTTTATTCTCTGCAAACATTTTATAAGGATTGATTTCAAGCTTAACAGTGAAATGTTAGTTTAATCTTTTGTCCCATTAAAAGAAGGAAAATTCCCAAATTATAATATATTTAATTTAGAATCAGCTCTTCTGATAGATTCCTTCTAAAAAAACAACCTTTAAGCAGGTATTTAACATCACTTTTATAAAGAATATATTTTAATAAAACCTTTTTTAGTAGAAGCTTGAATACGTTAGTTTCTATAAAAAGTTTCACTTTGTGAATTCAGTTCATAAAATAACTAAAAGTTTTAATCTTCTAATGGACTGAATATAAACAATATATAATAGATATGTTAGATTTCTGTCATTTGTTATCCTCAGAGAAAACATTTGAAGCAGTTTACCTGATAAATCAGGATAATTTAAAGGATAAAAACGTAAAAAAAACAGCCACGTTCATTTATCCAAACCTTGGCGTTGTTAAAACATTTTATAAACTTTTATCTCTCAATTGCGTTACGTTTTGCTAAATCTGTTCTTTGCTGCATAAAATAATGGGGAAAAAAATACACTAAAACAATTGCACCTTCCTTGCTCCACAAGGTAACTTAAAGCTGGAAATTAAATATCAAAAACTTTATCTTTTTTACCTTTAAGTTGACTTTTTAAGTGTATGTGGGCCTGATTTGACTTGGTGAGTATAATGAGCAGCTAGTAGAATAATGTTTGCACTGTACATATAGTAAAACATTCACATTTAAAGCATTAGGGAGAATATTCATTCCATTGGTAATTATTTAACTACATATTGAAATGTTGGGCAAATACACTTATTTCAAGAAATGTTTACTTTATTTTACACTAAATTCTAGTCCAGTT